AGCCATGAGCCATGATTGGCCAAAGCAAAGTGACTTTGGCCAATTATGGCTCTCACAGTGCATTGAGCTGTGATTGGCCAAATCACAATGCACTGTGAGAGCGCAGTACATTGTAGGGTTTGGTGGGCGTACAGCCCGCCGAACGCCCTTACCGTTCGTAGAACACGTGAACTGCCAATGTTCGAATCGAACTTACATTCTACTCAAACATACAGCCCATCACTAGTGAATACCGAATTACTTTGTTCCACAATTACTGATAACATTCTGTATAGGTCCTTCCAATATCATGTAGTGGCAATTTGCTTTTCAGGTTGGTCACATGGCATTTAGGCATTGTTCTGTGTACTTCTGTGGTCTGCTAAGGCTGTTCTCCATTTCTGGTTCATGTTTTTAATCTCTTACTCTCAGTTAAGAAACCCCAGAGGCCCTGCAAAACCCTTGGTGAGGTGCTACAAACTGTCTTGACAAACACGGTAACAGAACATAGTGTTGTAATGGTAAATTCTGAAGACAAAGGACAGAAGACCTGTTTGTTACCCAAGCAGACAACATGCACTCTTTACTAGCAAGAACATTTTCAAAGAGAGAAAGGCATTGAAGCAGTCTAAATAATTTTTTGTCCTCTGTAAATCTAGACAAATGATGGAAATAGAAACAAAAACCATACTTAATTAAAAGTACACATGGCACTGTAAAATACCAATTACATTTAGTTAAATTTAGTTTTTGGCTTCCCTGTAGCAGGGGAGCAGTGATCATTTGCTTTTGGCTGTTCTGGGCTCTGCTGGTACAGGCTCAACTGCTTTCCCCTGCATCCTACTGAATTGTGGGATATAGTGGGTGGCAGAGTCTGTCCCTGACCTGCATATTCATGTATTCTTAGCTGCCAATCCCTGGTCAAGAGAGTAAGTTGAGGCCTAGAACAGCAGCCTCTTGGGGGAGTAAAACCCAGCTTGAGGGCTGTGGCACCCCTGGGGTGCCCAGCTACAGCAATAAAGAAATCCTTTTGGGGTCCCAGCTGCAGTTAGAGCTTGGGGACCTCTGTCCAGATTAACCTGAAGCAGTGCACAAAGCTCCACAGGGGATCCAGGCTGCAGGCACCAAGTTCAGAGGCTGGCCGGTACTGCAGTAGGCATTACAGTACCCAGGGCTTGGTGAGTACTAGCCTAAAGGATCCTAGAGACTTTCCATGCCACCTTTGAGAAATCATTACATTACCATAACTCAGGATCATACCCCTATTGAGTTCCTGCATTGAAGTTCATTTAACCTTCACATTCAAAAGGGTAGTTACACCTGAAGGAGCAGATACGTTTTAGTGTCCTCTGTTTCATCTTTGCTAGTTGTTCTTTGGAGTCCCACTGAAATTGAGTGTTTTGGCCAGTTTGACATTGCTTTTGATCATTCAGTCATCTTGCTTACATTTACATTAAAGAGGCACTTGTAGGTCAGACAAATATAACATAACAGTTATAATGAAATAACCACAAATGTCTTTTCTGTGCTCACAGCATTATCAGTTTTATTCAACCCCCAAGTGACATTCAATCTTAGTACTTAGTACAGCATCCTTTTACAGTTATAACAGCTTTTAAACGTGAAGCATAGCTTGACACAAGTGTCTTGCAGCGATCTACGGGTATCTTCGCCCATTCTTCATGGGCAAAGGCCTCCAGTTCAGTCACATTCTTAGGCTTGCGCACTGCAACTGCTTTCTTTAAGTCCCACCAGAGGTTCTCAATCGGATTTAAGTCTGGTGACTGCGATGGCCACTCCAAAATGTTCCAGCCTTTCCTCTGCAACCATGCTCTAGTGGACTTGGAGGTATGCTTGGGATCATTGTCCTGTTGAAAGGTAACGTCTCCCAAGCCTCAGGTGTGTGACGGACTGCATCACGTTTCCATCCAATATCTCCTGGTACTGAAGAGAATTCATGGTACCTTGCACACGCTGAAGCTTCCCTGTACCTGCAGAAGCAAAACAGCCCCAAAGCATGATTGACCCTCCACCATGCTTCACAGTAGGCAAGGTGTTCTTTTCATCATAGGCCTTGTTCTTCCTCCTCCAAACATAGCGTTGATCATGGGCCCAAACAGTTATCAGTCCACAGAACACTATCCCACAACTTTTGTGGTTTGTCCACATGGCTTTTGGCATACTGCAGTCGACTCTTCTTATTCTTTGGAGACAGCAAGGGGGTACGCCTGGGAGTTCTGGCACGGAGGCCTCATTACGCAGTGTGCGTCTTATTGTCTGGGCTGAAACTTCTGTACCCACATCTGACAAATCTTTTCTCAGTTCCTCAGCAGTCACACGGGGACTTCTCTCCACTCTACGCTTTGCTCATCAGGTAGCGCACAGCAGTCGAAGTCAGCATCTTCTTTCTGCCACGACCAGGTAGCGTTTCAACAGTGCCCTTTGCCTTGAATTTGCGAATGATGCTTCCTAAGGTGTCTCTTGGTATGTTTAACATCTTTGCAATCTTCTTATAGCCATTGCCCTTCCTGTGAAGAGAAATCACCTCTTCTCTTGTCTTCCTGGACCATTCTCTTGCCTTCACCATGTTTGTAACCACACCAGTAAATGTCTAGAAGGAGCTGAGTATCACAGTCATTTTAAAGCTGCCTAATTGGTGCTTATTATGCTTGATTGCTGCTCGGTGACATCCACAGGTGTTTTCAATACCTGATGGAAAGCACCTGTATGAACCTCTGTTCTTCAGAGTGGTAGTCTTTAAGGGGTTGAATAATTGTGGCAATGAAGAAACCACATAAGAACCATTTACTACTGTATTACATAAACAATTGATGTCATTTTAGTTGCATTTGGGTAGTTACAACGTCCTTGTAGGATTTGATTCTGAATACAATTCCAAATGTACACTATAGTCCCTAAACCCCTTTACAGCATTGGGGGTTGAATAATTTTGGCCACAACTGTATCCCAAGGCTCACCCTCACTCTAGTTTTAACCAGCAAATAAACTGCAAAAAGACCTGCACGGCTGTTGTCTGTCTTGAGTGACTGGGAAGTACCATGTGCCTGGCTCCCATGTGCCTGTCAGGGAGTTGAACCAGGGATCAAACAGCCAGCCCGGTCTGGGATCTGTGCTAAGTGAAAATGGCTTGCAGTAGTATAGTGCTATGAATACAGTGTGCAAGAATCACTGTTCGTCCACCATGAGACAAATTGTCCTACAATTTAAGAGGCATTGCAAACATACAGTTTTGCTCAAAAGTTTGCATTAATATTGAAAATATGACTGATCATGCAAAAAAAAATTATTTTATTTAAGGATAGTGATTATAAAAGCCAATTATAATCACATACTGTAGTTGTTTGGCTCCTTTTTAAATCATAATGATAATAGAAATCACCCAAATGACCCTGATCAACAGTTTACATACCCTGGAATGTTTGGCCTTGGTCCAGACACACAAGGTGACACATATAGGTTAAAATGGCAATTAAATATTAATTTACCTGTGGCTTTTTAAATTGTAATTAGTGTCAGTGTATAAATAGTCAATGCGTTTCTTAGCTCTCATGTGGATACACTGAGCAGACTAGATACTGAGCAATGGGGAGCAGAAAAGAACTGTCAAAAGACCTGCGTAACAAGGTAATGTAACTTTATAAAGATGGAAAAGGATTTTAAAAGATATCTAAAGCCTTGAATATGCCATTCAGTACTATTCAATCATTTATTAAGAAGTGGAAATTTCTGGGATCTCTTGATACCAAGCCAATGTCAGGTTGACCAAGAAAGATTGCAGCCACAGCTACCAGAAGAATTGTTTGGGATACAAAGAAAAACCCACAGGAAATCTTGGGAAAATACAGGCTGCTTTGGAAATGCAGGCTGTGTTTAAATATAGGCATAGTGCTCAAAAATGTTCAAAAGGAGGTGAATTGGGAGAAAATGGAGGCGCTAAATATAAACCTGGATGAGGATGTCCTGTTAAGTTTGAAAAGAAAGTTTAATTTTTCCTGGCAATTGTATGCCCTCCTCTACTTTTATTTACCGTATTTTCCGGCGTATAAGACGACTTTTCAACCCCTGAAAATCTTCTGAAAAGTCAGGGGTCGTCTTATACGCCGGTGAGAGCCGGTGTCAGGGCGGCACTTTTTCGAGGGGCGGCGCGGCGCCACCCCCCCCCTCCTCCTCCAACAGACACAAAGTACAGGGGTGGGCAGAGGGGCTGCTGTACCTTACCTGGCTCCGGTCCCACGACGATCCGGACCAAGAAGCGCGGCTGCTCCTTCTTTCAGTTCGGCCACTCGATGGTCACGTGGCCGCTCGGCTCCGCCTCCTCACCGGTGATTGGGCGCCAGCACTGGAAAGGCACACAGGCGACCAATCACCAGCGAGGAGGCGGAGCCGAGCGGCCCCGCAAAAATCAAGCGGCCGAACTGGAAGAAGGAGCAGCCGCTCCTCTACCCCACTGACACTAACGATGGGGCACTATTCCTCCCCCACTGACACCAACGATGAGGCACTGTTCCTCCCCCACTGACACCAACGATGAGGCACTGTTCCTCCCCCACTGCCACCAACGATGAGGCACTGCTCCTCCCCCACTGACACCAACGATGAGGCACTGCTCCTCCCCCACTGACACCAACGATGAGGCACTGTTCTTCCCACTGATACCAATGTTGGGGCACTATTCCTCCCCCCACTGACACCAATGATGGGGCACTCTTCTTCCCACTGATACCGATGATGGGGCACTATTCCTCCCACTGATACCAACGATGGGGCACTATTCTCCCTACTGACACCAATGATGGGGCACTATTCTCCCCACTGACACCAATGATGGGGCACTATTCCTCCCACTGATACCAATGATGGGGCACTATTCCTCCCACTGATACCAACGATGGGGCACTATTCTCCCCACTGATACCAATGCTGGGGCACTACTTCTCCTCCCCACTGACACCAACGATGGGGCACTATTCCTCCTCCCCACTGACACCAATGATGGGGCACTATTCTCCCCACTGACACCAATGATGGGGTACTATTCTCCCCACTGATACCAATGATGGGGCGCAATTCCTCCCACTGACACCAATGATGGGGCGGAATTCCTCCCACTGACACCAATGATGGGGTGCAATTCCTGCCACTGATACCAATGATGGGACGCTATTCCTCCCACTGACACCAATGATGGAGCGCAATTCCTGCCACTGATACCAATGATGGGGCGCTATTCCTCCCACTGACACCAATGATGGGGCGCTATTCCTCCCACTGACACCAATGATGGGGTGCTATTCCTCCCACTGATACCAATGATGGGGTGCTATTCCTCCCACTGATACCAATGATGGGCCGCTATTCCTCCCACTGACACCAATGATGGAGCACTATTCCTCCCACTGACACCAATGATGGGACACTATTCCTCCCACTGACACTAATGATGGGACACTATTCCTCCCACTGACACCAATGATGGGGCACGATTCTTCCCACTGACACCAATGATGGGGCACTATTCCTCCCACTGACTAATGATGGGGCACTATTCCTCACACACTGACACTAATGATGGGGCACCATCATTGGTGTCAGTGGGAGGAATAGTGTCCCATCATTGGTATCAGTGGGAGGAATAGTGCCCCATCATTGGTGTCAGTGGATGAAATAGTGCCCCATCATTGGTGTCAGTGGGAGGAGTAGTGCCTCATCACTGCTGTCAGTGGGAGGAATAGCACCCCATCATTGGAATACCATACTGAAATAGCATACCATATTGAAATCAAATCTGATGTTTTTTCATTTTTATTTGGTGTGCGTTGGAAGAGGGGTGGTCTTATACGGCGAGTATAGCTCAAACCCTATATTTTAACAGGAAAAGTAGGGGGTCGTCTTATATGCCCAGTCGTCTTATACGCCGGAAAATACGGTATTTATTTATTACAGGTACTTTTATAGCGCCGTCAATTTACGCAGCATTTTACATATATATTGTGCATTCACATCAGTCCCTAACCCTCAACTGGTGTACAATCTAAGGTTCCTAACATACATTCATACATCCTCATACTAGGGCCAATTTAGACAGGATCCAATTAACCAACCAGCATGTCTTTGGATCAAATTAACTCCATCCATAGTATCTCTATATTATTATTATTATTATACAGTGTTTATATAGCGGCAAAAAGTTTGCTCAGTGCTGTACAATATAGTGGGGGACAGTACATGAGACAATACAGTAACAAAACAATATACGAGAGGTTCGAGGGCCCTGCTCTTTCGAGCTTACAATCTAGGAGGGAGGGGATAGTGGTACAGGAGGAAGTGGCTGTGGGGGATGGAATGGTAGGAGGAGTGGAGGAGATCGGCTGTTAGGTGAGGGTGGGGTAGGCTTCCCTGAAGAGATGGATTTTGAGGGTGCGTCTAAAGGTGAGGAGGGTAGGTGACAGTCTGATGGATTGGGGTAGTGAGTTCCAGAGGATGGGGGAAGTCCTGGAGAAGTCCTGCAGTCAGGCGTGGGAGGAGGAGACCAGGGAGCTAGAAAGTAGGAGGTCTTGTGAGGAGCGAAGAGTACGGGTTATATATATATATATATATATATATATATATGTGATTCTGTGCAGCCTGCCCACAATGTAGCAGTAAATCTACAGTGCCAGGTCAGCAAGTGGTCTATTCTTTTGATGTATGTCTATGGCATTGCTAAAAATTAACGTTATAGTAGTTAGTTTTTGCAATTCTTCACATTCTAGAAAGCAGAAGAAAAAAAAAAAAAATGATGAGGAGAAGGGGTGATATGTACATGTTTTCTGGTTGTATTTTACAGAACATCGGTTCTGGCAAAACCATATTCACAACATACACTTTTAGTGCTGTCATTGCAATGTAAAAAGGTCCAAGATTTATCATATAGACTGGGTTTATGTAGGTCACACATCACATATCTTTAAGTTTTGAGACTTGACTAGAAGTGTAAATCACAGTCTACCTTAACATTTATGGCATTTTGTTATTTCTTTTGTTTTTATGAACTCCATCAAGCACCCTTATGTTTTAACATGTTTACTGCCCTGTCAATTTCCAAAAAAGTGCCAAAGCTTGCATTTGCCTTACTAATAATGTTTAACTAATGTTTAAAACCTAGTTGTAAATACAGTGATAGCACCAACGTTTGTGAAAGAACTGAGCTGGAGAAAAGTTTTCCAATCTCAATTAAAGCCTACTGCTAATCAAGTATATATAAACTTAATTATAATTAAACGTAATTATGAATTAATTAATTAAACTTAATTATTCATCTTACTACGGGAAGTGGAAGTATGGTCATCCTTGAGACATCTTTTTTGGATGGGTAAAGTCCTGGCCCTTAAAATAGTGCTTTTACCCAGAATTTTATATTATTTGTGCACTTTGCCCATGGCAATTCCACATGCTGATTTACAGCGATTTCAAAATCAACTTATATATTTCTAGTGACAACCCCTAGGCTACCGCGGCGCACGCTATACTGCACACGAGAGGCCGGTGGCTGGGGGGGTCCAAGATCCCTGGAAATACTACTACGGAGCCCAGATCCCACAATTATCTCAAATATATTCCAAGGTTTACAGACCTGACTGAGTAGTACTGGAAGCCCCCCAGCCTATCGACCTCTTGATGTGGTTACATCCTAGATATTGACGGGCAATTGTTTGTCCAATGCTCTCCCACTCTATGTGTTTATGGGATTTAATAAGTAAATCAGTGTCTCTTCGGTCACACCCCCGTGGTGGCTATTTTCAACAATCCAATGTTCCCACCTGGCCTTCAACCCCAGGAGTTCCGATGGTGGATTAATAATGGCCTTTATCACTTCGATCACTTTCTGGACCACAAGGGATTACGTCCCGTGTCATATTTTAGCCAACAACTCGAGATGCCAGTCTCTGAGACTTGCCGCCTACAACAAATCATACACTTCCTCCAGTCTGTGCGTAGCCTCACTCCGGATATAACAACATGTACCACCTTTGAAAATAGATCACAGGGAACACCAGAAGGGTAGTGTATCGGAATTGTACAAATTTCTCATTAACACACCGTGTAAAATACCCTATATGCAGGCCTGGGAAAATGACTTGGGAATGGAAATTCTGGAGGAGGATTTGAGGGATTGGTCAGCGTGAACATATAAGGGTATCTTGAATGTCTCCTTAGTCACGGCTGCTTACAAGGTGGCCTCTCATTGGTACTTAGTACCCGAACGACTGCATAAGATGTACCCAGACTCCTCAGCCCTGTGCATCAGGGGTTGCAGTCAAGTAGGCACAACGTTTCACACGTGGCGGTCATGTAGCAAAGTCAGACGATTTTGGATTAGGGCCCACTCGATCATATACTCTGTAACCATGGTGAATATGATCAAGTACCCCAAAACAGCCCTGCTTAATAAACCAGTGGAGGGATTCCTTGATATATGAAGACCTCAATTCACTCTATGTTTCTGGTCAAAGATTAATGAGAAGCTAGTTGGTATACTCTACGTGACACTACAACAAGGTTTGAGAGAGTCTGGAATCCTTGGATACAATACTTACAAACTCCATGAAGAGTGTTCCGATGACGACCTGAGGGGCGGAGAACCCCTTGACTTTGCTTTTCTTTTTCATTCTTTCTTTTCTTTTCTTTCTCCCTTCAATCCCTTTCTTATTTCCCTCTCACACCTTTCCTTCTGTAAGCATGGCTTCTACCAGAGGCCCAGTTCGCAGTATTTATTTACTCAGTTTTTTAAGATTGTTTCCCTTTGGGGGTTCCCTTTTCCCCTGGCTCGGTTCAGCTTCATAAACTCATTTGACATGGATTGTATGCCAGAGGAGGATGTGCTCTGCTCTGCGAGAGGTAATCTAAACTGTTTATACCCATGCCCCTTGTCACAAAGCTTTATCACCCTATGGCAACCTCGCTAGTGATATGATAGCATAGCTGTTGATAATCTTCCCTAATACTTTATGATCACCACCTGGTTGGTTTTAAGGTTGATTATTGTTTTAGTTTCTATGTACCCACTGTATATCGCCTGTGAAGCGATACCATCCCTCCTTTTATGGTTGGATACCTCAAACTGAGCAAATTGATGGCCCCTCTATTGTTTCTTATTTTTTGTATTGTATGTAAACTTTCAATAAACATTATTGAAAAAGAAAAATGTTTAAAAGGTTAAGCTATTGCACACAAAAATCTAGGCTCAGAGATAGCCACTGCACCAATTACTGCTCAACTAATAAAGCAAGTATTGCAAAGAGAAGGATAATTTTAAAGAAATTCTGTTTAGATTCTGTCTGCATTTTATAGATCCTATCAATGCGATCAAAAAACAATAGCATTTCTCAGTTTCCACCTCAGGGGATATATCATTCAAAAAAAAAACTAGCTGCTGGCAAATAAGTCTAGAAGAGCCAATAAGACGACATGACCCTAGATTGGTTGACCAAACATGGGATTGATAATATTTTGTGCAAGGGTATGTAAACTGTCAAAAAAATCAACATAAAGTTTAAATGATGCAGGAACTAAGAAAAGAACTGAAACTGATGGAACATATCATGTCTTCAGAAAAATGTGAAGCCTGATGATAGCAAAGTTTCAGCAATTTGAAACATACCCACACCACAGGACAAAAAGGGTTTAATGTGCTTCTTAGACATGACAAAGTACTTAGCATAATATATTACCCGTGAAGCATCCAGTGTTAAAACCCTAGCTGGAAAAAAGTGCTCTGGCAATGGGCACCAGAGCAGGACAAAGCCTTAAATTTACTGAAAGCCAATCTGACAGTAGCACCTGCTTTAAGTTTTTATGATCTGTCAAAACAAACTGGAAATACAAAAAAAAACATTTCAAAAGCTGGAGCATGTCTCATGCCTTAAGGAATATCACCATTTATGCATCAACACCATTAACATATTTAGCAAATGCACACACTTTAAAAATAAACCCTTGTAACTGTGTATACAAAAAGGAAATATCACCACAAGCTATTCTTTTAAGATCAACAAAGATTATCTCAGGTGCAGAAATATAACTTTGCTGTTGCATATTGTATAACCCTTGAAAACTGATCGAAACTGCTGGCACTTTCTCTATAGATGTTAACCAAACACAGGGATTATGGACAAGAACATTTTGATGAGGAAGTGATTTATGGTATAGAGTCTACAGAACCAATAAGTCCTGGACTGTTGCAAACCATGAACTAAAGTATGTGGCTGTAATTTGACTGCAGATAGGAACTCACATGAAGATATGACTT